CCAAGCCTGGAAACCTGGAACCCCCCCTCACGCCACTAGGGCGCAGCCAATCCCAAGTCCTGAGGCTTGGAATTCCCTGAGCCTCTACCCCCATATGAACCCCCATTCTTCACTGCTCTGGGTCTTTCCTTGTGCTGCTCCTATTGCTGCTGTCACTGCTACTGCTGCCACTTCAGACAGAAGGTGGGACCTGAGTCAACTGGTGAATAAAGACTGCTTTTGCATCAGAGTTGGTCTTGTGGTGGTGTTTCGGGTTCTAGAATTTGGGCATAACATTAAGTAGCTCTTCCAACTTAAAATTCACACATAATTTTTGTCTGTTTAGCCACATGGCATGGTTTCTCAGTAAGGCATTCTCATCTTGTTTCCTCTGTGACTATATGGTGACTGACTCTCTGGCCTTTCCTCTTCCCTGCGGGTGAATTGTCTGTATTCTATCAATCATGTTTTAAATAAGCACTGATTGGCCAGGCAGGAAGTATAGGCGGGAAAACCAGACAGGAAGTAGAAATGATGCAATTAGAACAGGAAAATTCTGGGAAGGAGGAAGTTGATTCCTCCCATTCCTGCCCAGACCACGAAGCAGCAGGATGTGATCTGCCCCACTGAAAAAGGTACTGAGCCACATGGCTAACATAGATGAGAAAAATGGGTTAATCAAGATGTGAGAGTTAGCCAGCAAAAGGCTAGAGCTAATGGGCCAATCAGCTTATAATTTATGGAGACCTATGTGTGATTTTCTTTGGGACTTGCTGGCTGTGGGAACCTGGCAGGACAGAAATCCCCACAGCCAGCCCTCATATTACACTTCCCAGAATTCTCCTAGACTGGTCGTCCCAATACTTTCTGTCTGGCTACTGGCCAATCAGTGTTTTATTAAATCAATACGAGTGATAAATCTATATGTTATGCCCAAATTTGCAGGGTCTCCACAAAAAACAACAAATGAGACTGAGTCCCATGTGTAAAAGCAAAGAGCCTTTATTTTAATCAGGTTTGCAAACTTGGTCTCTCCACATGTCCAACATATTGGAATATCCAGAGAGTCTCAAGCTCAATTAGAATAGGGTTTTTATAGTAGTAGAGATGGGGGGTGAGGGGTTTCTGAGGTTTGGGGTTTCTGAGGTTTAGGGCCTCTGATTGGCTGACATTTGTCTAGGGGTGTCCTGGTGAAGTGCCCTGGCAGGAGATCCTATCTACAGTGGTTGGAATGCCAGGAATTTCCTTTGAATGGTTTGTTCTTGGGTGAGGGTCCGGTGATCCCAGCTTGTTGTTCCTCCTGCAGCCCTGCACCGCCTTAGGGTAAATAATTGAGACCCCAGCCTCCACTGAAATTCATCATGGCCAGAGTCCCAGGTGATAATGGTTGGAAGAAGTAAAGAACTTCCTTTGGGTGACCTGCACAGACTTAGATTATCATGGCTGGTCCTCACACTTTACAGTGTATAAGAGCATTATCTGACAGCAGTAAACAATACCGCTTGTTGTGCTTGCTTTAATAAAAATAAGAAGTGCTTTGTTTGCAGTACTCTTGAGCTCAGCACCTAGGGTCCCCTGGTTAATCCCACATATATCTTTGGAATACCCTTCAATCCTCAGAGATTTAGCCTCAGTGGCCATAGTGTGGGCTGACGTCTATGACTCTAACTCTCTCATTTTGTTTGCCTGCAAAACCAGCATCATGTGGACAACAGCAATTATTTTTTAAAATTATTTTTCGAAGTATGCTCTTTTGCTCCCTGTTCTCACTATAAAACTAATTCAAAGAAGCCAGGAGTATCTATTCCAAAGATGGAACAATGGACTGCCTGGTAATTTCCTGCTCCAGATTAACTGGTCTAATATCAATAAACCCAGCCTCCCATAGATTTAGGGCATAGACAGAGTATAGGCAGCATAACACAAATGGCTTCTAGCCTCCAGTTCTTAATAGCACCCTTGTTCCTAGCTATAGGCTCACCCACATTCTCACTGACTGTCTGCCAGAAGAAGTTCTGCATGTGTAATCCCAAGGGTTCTAGAGCTGGCTTCTCTACATCTTCCTTCAAGTCAGTCTTCTTCTTAACCACAGTCAAAGTATCAGCAGCAACTTCTCTTCCTGGTACCAACTTTCTCTACTAGTTACTCTTCTACCAGTGTAACCAAAAAGGTTTCTTCCAGCTCAGTACCAGAGATTTCAGCCTAGCATCACGGGTACTGAAAGACCTGGATAAATCCAGCCCTGCCCCCCCCCCAGCAGGAAGAAAATAACCAAAAATCTAAGCAGGAAGAATCAGAAATCTAGGATTAGCCGGTTCAGCGACTGTGTTTCAGAAACTAGCTGAAGATAAAGTTAGATTGTAATCTTGAGAATAATCTTGAGAAACAGGGAGTTTCCCCCTTGTGATTATCATTGGTATTTTTGGAATAATGTGTTTCAGGAACTAGCTGATTATGACCTTGAGAGTGATCTTGAGAGGCAGGGAGTTTCCCCCTTGTGATCATCACTGGTATTTTTGAATTTTCTGTGACACCCTCCCTGCCCCTTTTGGATTACTAGGCTGTGGTTTCTTCCTATAAAACCCCTTCCACTCGGGGTTGAACTCTTCCCCTGCATGGGTTATGAGTCTCGGCCTCAGTGCACTGGTTCCCAACTCATCGATTAAACCTCGTGTGATTGCAGCAAGGAAGGATGGGGGGGGTCGTATTATCCCGAGACTTGAGTGAGAGTCTCCCCACACTGGGGGTTTTTCAGTACAATGGGTGAAACACAGTAGTCCATGCTTTGGTGACCAGGAAGCAGAAAGGATGCCTGTGAGAAGGGGGGTTTCTTTCTTGCTCTTTATTATATGAGGTAGTAGTCCCGCTTGCACTCAGGAGGGGTCTTTCCCCTGTAGCACCACGAGGGGATGGCTTACCGGGAAAGCTCTTAACCTGTGTCCATCTCGGAGAGGAGAGCTATGGCGTCTGCCTGAATCTGCTTCTTTCTCCCAGCATTCTGTTCTGTCTTCCCCGCCTACCTATGTTCTAACCTATCAGGCCAAGCAGTTTCTTTATTAATTAACCAATGAAAGCAAAAGATAGACAGATTTCCCCAGGTAATTTCTATCTGAAAATACCCTCACAGACACACCTAAATGTGTGCCGTACTAATCTGCTAGGCACTTTTTAATCCACCCGAACTGACAGTCAAGACCAACCAACCAACCAACCACAGGATATGACTGTTTCATTATCACAAGTGACCTGATTACTTTATTCAATAACACAAATACAAGCAGGTATTACAGTAATGTTAAAGGCACAGCAAGGGAAATGGAATGGAATTCCTGGCCTAGAGACCTAAGATTCCAGCTAGGCTGGTCAATTGCCTGGCGAAGGAACTACCCCTCTGAAAGGTGGACTCATCTTAAGGCAATGGTTTTCAACCTTCCTAAGGCTGTGACCCCTTAATACAGTTCCTTGAGTTGTTTATTGCCACTTCATAACTGTAATTTTGCTACTTATAAGTTTTAGTGTAAATATCTGTGTTATCAGATGGTCTTAGAGTCATTAGACCTTCAAATGGGTTGTAACCCACAGGTTGAGAAGCACTGACTTAGGGTATGCTGAAGGAATGGGAGAGATAATTAGACCTTTAATGAGATTGTGTACTTTTTCTACCCAGAATCTCTTCCCTTAAGGACCACAGCCATGCAGCCTTACTAAGTCTATCAGCTTTTCTAAGTTCTTACTCAAAAAAAAAGCATTTACTTTTCCCTTTTCTTGCTTTTGCTTCTGATATTTGGCAAAGTGTATACATGCTTGCAAACATACACATACTAGAATTTCTCATTCTTTCTCATTTGTAGAGATAGAGCAGTGGGCTGTGGCCTGGCTCCCGGCTAGCTTTACCCGAAATAACAGCACACAAATTGTATTCTTTTAAATACTGCTTGGCCCATTCACTCTAGCCTCTTATTGGCTAATTCTCACATCCTGATTAACCCATTTCTAATAATATGTGTAGCACCATGAAGTGGTGGCTTACCGGGAAAGATTCTACCCTACATCCATCTCAGGTCGAAGAATCATGGCGTCTGCCTCACTTCCCTTCTTCCCAGCACTCTGTTCTGTCTACTTCGCCCATCTAAGCTGCTGTCCTATCAAAGGCCAAGGCAGTTTCTTTATTAACCAATGAAATTAACACATAGAGAGAAGACCCTCCTCCATCACTCATTTTTCTCCTCTTTCAGCCATATAGCTTACAAACAGCAAGGCTTTTTTTTCTCCTCATCTTCATCCTCCAGGTAGATGCCAAGATTATAGCTTCATGGTCCTTGGATTTTTTTTTCTTTTTAAACCTAATAAAGTTGTCCTTAAACTTTACTTTGAATCTTTTAAATTTTTTACTAGCATACTAAGAAACCTGAGACCACAATTTCCCAGGTAACATTTAGCACCCCCAAACTTCCAGTAATATTGTAGATGCTCATATTCATCTTCACAAGAACATTTTTCTATGTGCCAGGAATGCAAGAATATTTTAGGCACTGGATTGGAGTACAGGTGTATAGATACATTATATAATTCTAAAGAATGTTTTCCTTCAGGCACCAGCCTATAATCCCTGTAGTCCAGAGGTGAGAGTAGGGGGATCTGGAGTTCAAAGTTATCCTCTAACCTCAGTCAGTTCCTGGACAACTCGGGTTATGACATTCTGTTCTCCCCCAACCTTCCCCAAACCCCAAGTCGCAGAAACCAGAGGTTTAAAACACCCAATCTGGATGGAAGGCCAGAGAGTCACGTCTTCCAATTAGTAACTGCAAGAGTGCCCTCGGTTTGCAATCTCAGCACTTCTGAGGGTGAGGCAAGGGGGGGGGAGGGGGAAGGGGGTGGGGATTGGAAGTTCAAGGTCATCCTTGACTACACCATGAATTCAAGATCAGCCCCTTAGAATAGTAAATGAAATAAATCCGTTCCTTGGGTTTATTTTAGATTTATTTAAAGTAACGTTTGAAAGCCGTATATCTCCAACATCTACCAGCGATTAAAGAAACAAAAGACACCTAGGGGCCGACCGTTGTTGGAAAAAAAAAGCGTTCTTTTTTCCCCAGTCTTTTCTAGCTAACTCCTCTCCAGAACCGTCCTCGTGGACACAAGAGTCAACACACCCAAGAAAATAACACCCAGAAACTTATAGGGACAATGGAGGCTGCGGCGTGAAGCCTCACCAGCTTCAATGAACCCGCAAACTCATAGACCGTAAACGCCCAAACCCTACTGCGCAGCCGCATGACCTCTCCCCGTTCGCCCCGCCCCTTCGCCTTACTCCCCTCCCAGGCCCAGCATGCACCGCGTCGACCTTTTCTTTGCGAGTGACCCCTGCTTTCGGCGCCTTCCCAATGACAGGAGGCGCGGAGCATTGTGGTCCCGCGGGCCGGAGAGAGGCGGGACACCGGAAAGAGAAAGCAAAAGACCAGTGCGAGCCGGCAGGGAGGACCGGGCGCATGCGCACGGGCAGCGGCAGGACCGGAAAGGGCGTGACAAAGTCTACGGCGAGCGCATTGGGGCGGGGCCTCGAGGCCTTGGCGCGGAGTCCCCGAGGCCGGAGGGGAGGGGGCGGGCTAAGGGTGCGGGCGGAGGAGGAAGTGTCATGGCGTCGGGCCGTGGAGCTTCTTCTCGCTGGTTCTTTACTCGAGAACAGCTGGAGAACACGCCGAGCCGCCGCTGCGGAGTGGAAGCGGATGAAGAGCTGTCGCACCGCCAGCAGGCGGCCAACCTCATCCAAGACATGGGACAACGTCTCAATGTGTATCCTTTTCCTGGTTGCGGCCCTGCGTCCCTCACGCCCCGGTCGCGCTCGCCGGTGACCGGGCCTAGTGTCCCGCGAACATGGCGCCGCCGCCTCTGCCTGCTTCTGGCCTCGGGAAAGAGAGAGGCACAGAAAACGTGGCCCAGGGCTGCGGTGGCGAGCCCGAGGAAGAGGGGATGAGTCGGGGAAGGCAGGTCCGGAGTCCGCGTTGTGTAACCTGTGCCTGGAAGCGCGTGATGCAGTAGGGATCGGCACTGCCGCCCGGCGAGGGGCATCCGCGATGAGCGAAGCCAAGGGGCGGCCCCTTCCACCTCTTTGGAAGTCGGAAAAGGCTTTGAGACGTAGGACGGCCCCAGATGTTTCACATAAAGCTTTTTCCAATGCTTCCTTGCCGGCTCCCGGGTGGCTCTCCTGCGCTGTGAGAACGCATGGAGAGCTTTCATGTTCTTTGGGTGTGTGGCGCGCGCCTTTCGACTATTTTATTTCTACTATACAAAGCTGTAGCCATTGCAAGTAATTCCCGGGCGCTCTTTGCGTAGTAATTTGGCATCAAACCTGGTCTCTCTTCACCAGACTTTTTATGTACTTACAGGTTGGAGGTTTGATTTTGAGTAACTGGAAAGGAATTACAAGGGGATTTTCCATCCAAATTGATTTAGGTTTTAGAAATATTTTTCACAGATTATGTCCTAAATGTTGCATTCCAGATCTCAGCTTACAATAAACACTGCGATTGTTTATATGCACAGGTTTTATATGCATCATTCTTTCACCAAATTCAACAGAAATGTAAGTACTGTTTTATTGTCTTAATCGCCGAATGTTAAAGTGAATAGATAATGCAGAAAAAATTGATCATTGCTCTTACTGTGGATTTAGTGTTTTGAATTTACTGTAAATGTGAGTTATGTAATAGACGTTTTGCCTCAAATGCCAAGGGGTGTGTGTGTGTGTGTGTGAATTTTATTGATTAAACTGTAAGGCTCGGTGTTAACCTCTACCAGACCTTCTGAGACAGCAAAAAAAAAAAAAAAAAACCCTAACAACAAACAATAACTTGTTTTGCTGTCTGTTTTTGTTTTTTTGTTGTTGTTGTTTTTCTTGTTTGGTTTGGTTTTGGTGTTTGGCTTTTGGTTTCCTAGGGTCTTACTGGGTAGCTCTCAATGTCCTGAAATTCATTATGTAGACCTGGCTGGCCTTGAACACAAGTAGACCCTGCTTCTGCCTGTGCAGTACCAAGCTGGTGGGGGTGGGGAGTTGATAACAAACATTTCTTACTCAAAAATGCAGCAGTGTGTTATTCTGTTAAACTTTGCAGAGTGAGTGATTTCTATTAGAATAATAATCACGTACAGAATAGTCTGGGCCCTTCTTGTCCTTGGGGAGGCTGCTTCTTAATTGTATAGGAGTCGTTGTTTCCAACGTCGTGAATTGAGGCTTGTGTAAGCGTTGCTTTGAAGTGCTACTTTGAAAGGGCAGACTGTTGAGAGGAGTCCTTCAGTTTTGAGTGCAGTAGACCTGTGGGATAGCTCTTGTACTGGTCTTGAATATAATGTGCATATATGCTTATAACCAGGTGGCTATTTTAATTAATTGATGTTTGTTTACTTTGGGAGCATATCACTGTGTAATGCAAACTGGCCTCAAACTCAGAATTCTCCTGCCTCAGCTCCCCTGAGTGCTGGAATTACAGGCATGACTTCTTGAAGTTTTAAAGCTATCAAAGTTATGAACTGATGTTTGCTCTTTTCAAAGTAACATGCGATGTGGTTTTTTTAGTCCCCATTTCCGTGGGTATTAGAAATGTTTAACCCCCCCCCACACACACTTTAATTTCTCCGTTTTTTGAAGTTCTGATAGTGTTTTTCTGAAAGGTACATGTAAGAAAATGAGCCGCATAAGGACTTCTGTTGGTTGCGGGATAGTCATTAGGGTCTCAGTTGCTAAACTTTATTGCATTGTTAACTTTGAAGTGGCAGAAATTTCAAGATTTAGATAATTCCTCCTTTAAGTTATCTGAAATCTAACTCAGTTTATCAAATTTGCAAATAGTTTTTTTAGATGGTGCATATTTTTAGTACATTTGGGTCTCTCGTAGTCTCATCCTTGCCCTTTTAATATGCGTGCGTCTTGCTCTTTCCTGAGGTTATTTTGTATCATTCTTAGTTGAATAATGGTGTTGTTGAGGAGAATCTATTAGTAATAATGCTTAGACTAAGGCAATCAAGTTTTTATTTCAATCTCTCTAAAAGTAGCAGTGAATTTGGCTTTTTAAAAGTAGTCCTAGATAATGGTGGTAGAAACTACGAGTCAAATTGTGGAAATTCTTTTTGTTGAGTGAGTTTACTTTTCTATTTTCAGTACAAGATTTTACCACAAGGCTCTGCTTTATGAGCCCTCCCTCTGTTTCGATGGCCTGGTTGGAGTACTTTAAACAAACATCTTTCCCAAAGGTAGAATCTGTGTTTTTAATTAAGTCCAGGTCATCTGCATTCTTGATTTCACAAGCATTTTTACTGACAAAGCCATTCAATATTTTTATTACTGTTCTTACTCTCTTAGGCATATTAAGGCATACTTGAGCACTTTATTCTGAGTCTTCCTTAGCAGGATAATTGAAATGCCATCTGTTTGGAGAATCAGCATTGTCTCTCTTTGTTGGATTTCTTTCTTGCTTCTGTTTTTGCAGCATCAAAGGTGGTTTTAATATTCATTGTTATTGTGCCCTTGCATCATAGCCTCAGTAGTCCTCCCCGCACCTGGTCCTTTAGTGATGAGCTCAGATTGAAGGTCAGCCCTGTTTAAATTCCTATTCTCCTACATTCGTGAGAACCTTTTTCTTAGAAGGTTATAATCAAGTGTCATATTAAGGAAAAACACCAAGTATCATTCTTAACCCAGTGGGATAAGAAACTCAGGTGCTTGGGCAAGCTGGTCTTAAACTGTCATGTGTCGGTGATACTAAGGTATCTTTTGATGTTCAGCGCTTCATTTTAGTGTCTGAAATCGACAGGTCTGAAAGTGAAGAAGCATTTGTTAATAATTAAATTAATTATTTAAGAATTGGGAGGCAGAGGCAGGCAGATATCTGTGAATTTGAGGCCAGCCTGGTTTACAGAGTGAGTTCCAGGACAGGCTCCAAAGCTACAGAAAAACCCTGTTTTGAAAAAGCAAACAAAAAAAAAAAAAAAGAGGAGAAGAAGAAGTGACTGCATACAGCTTAAGAATAAGCCTACCTTTAGGACTGGTAAATAAAGAATAATCCTCCTTGGATCGAGCTCAAGAGAAATGTAGTGGCCTGGTGAGGTGGCTCAGCAGGAAAGGCGCTTGCTGATGAGCCTGACGACCCGAATTTGATCTATGGGGCCCACATACTAGAAATCTCTTACTCCCTCCACACACACAAATAGAATAAATATGTAAAAGAATATTTTAAAGAACTTTTTATTTTATATGTATGGGTGTTTTGGCTGTATATGTGTGTCTGTACCACATGCGTGCCTTTTATTTGTGGAGTCCAGAAGAGGGCATTGGATTCTCTGGAACTGGATTGTGAGTGGTTGTGAGCCACCATGTGGATACTGTGGATTGAACCTGGGTCCTCTTGAGAAGAGCAAGTGATCATAACCACTAAGCCATCCTTCCAGCCTCATATATTTTTTTTTTAAAGATCAGTTTAGTAAAGTGTAACAGCACCTAACCCAGATGTTTCTCTGAAGTATAACCTGAGGTCACAGCCTTGCTTTATCCATCTTAAAGACTGACCAACTTCTCTTAGGAACAGTTCATTCTTTAATTAGTTTGGCTCAATACAGGGTTTCTCTTGCACCAGCCTCTCAGTGCTGGGCTTCTGAAGTGGCCACCACACCTGGTTAGTTGAGCAAATTAAAGATGCGATTGTTACTGGCCAAGTCCAAGAGTTCCCTTAGCATCGGGTTATAAAGATCATGCCTTTTTGAAGTATCTCCATTTGTTCTCTAGCACCTTTGCAATTGGTATGCTTCTTTTCTTAATGATTTATTTTTATTTTTTATGTGTATTCCCTGTGAGAGTGTCTGATTACTTAGAAATGGAGCTATAGACAATTGTGAGCTGCCCTGTGGATGTTGGGAATTGAACCTGGTTTCTCTGGAAGAGCAACTAGTGCTGTTAGCTGCTGAGTCATCTCTCCAGCCCTTAGTATGTTTCTTTACTTATTTTCTTTACCTTTCTAGAGCTCCTGCAGTTAGAACCACCTATAATATGCAGACTTAAAGGCATTGAGTCCTGTTGAAGGACCCAAGGGTGAGTTAGGTGGCTAGTAATCTTCTGGAATGATTGTATTGACTTACGAGAATACATCAGGTTCATAGTTTAGTTTTATTTATACATGCTCACTTGATCTCCAGCTGCACAAGACAAGTCTGCATCTGCTTATGCTAAATCTGCTTGTGCTAAATGGGGCAGGGTGACCCTATACTCAGGCTGGTCTTGGAGTGACTATGTTGCCTGGGATGGTCCCCAAGTCACAGACCTTCTACCTCAGCCTCCTTTTATGCTTCTAAGTGGCTTCATTTTAAATTAGTGAGTGTCACTGGAATCACAAAGGCAGTCTTTTCCTGAATTCCTTTACCTCCTGGTTGATTTGGAGGAGGCTGTTCTTTTTTTTTTCCTGCCAATGAATTGTTTTTTTTTGATTGAAAAAAAATTTTCCGCCTCCCCGCACTCCTCTCCCTCTCCCCCCCACTCCTCTCCCCCTCCCTCTCCAGTCCGAAGAGCAGTCAGGGTTCCCTGCCCTGTGGGAAGTCCAAGGTCCTCCCCCCTCCATCCAGGTCTAGGAAGGTGAGCATCCAAACAGGCTAGGCTCCCACAAAGCCAGTTCATGTATTAGGAACAAAACCCAGTGCCATTGTCCTTGGCTTCTCATCAGCCCTCATTGTCCGCCATGTTCAGAGAGTCCGGTTTTATCCCATGCTTTTTCAATCCCAGTCCAGCTGGCCTTGGTGAGCTCCCAATAGATCAGCCCCACTGTCTCAGTGGGTGGGTGCACCCCTCGTGGTCCTGACTTCCTTGCTCATGTTCTCCCTCCTTCTGCTCCTCATTGGGACATTGTGAGCTCAGTCCGGTGCTCCATTGTGGGTCTCTGTCTCTATCTCCATCCATCGCCAGATGAAGATTCTACGGTGATATGCAAGATATTCATCAGTATGGCTATAGGATAGGGCCATTTCAGGTTCCCTATCCTCAGCTGCCCAAGGAACTAACTGGGGACATCGCCCTGGGCACCTGGGAGCCCCTCTAGCACCAAGTCTCTTGCCAACCCTAAGATGGCTCCCTTAATTAAATTAAAGATATGTGCTTCCCTGCTCCCATATCCACCCTTCCTTTATCCCAACCATCTCATTTCCCCAAGTTCCCCCCATCCTCCCCTTCTCACTTTTCTCTCCCCATCTCCCCTTACCCCCATCCCAGCCCACCCCCAAGATCCCAATTTTTTGCCAGGCAGTCTTGTCTACTTCCCATATCCAGGAGGATAACTATATGTTTTTCTTTGGGTTCACCTTATTTAGCTTTTTAAGGATCACAAATTATAGACTCAATGACCTTTATTTATGGCTAGAAACCAATTATGAGTGAGTACATCCCATGTTCATCTTTTTGGGTCTGGGTTACCTCACTCAGGATAGTGTTTTCTATTTCCATCCATTTGCATGCAAAATTCAAGAAGTCATTGTTTTTTACCGCTGAGTAGTACTCTAATGTGTATATATTCCACACTTTCTTCATCCATTCTTCCATTGAAGGGCATC